AAAAGACCATAATTATAGTGATAGAAACCCCAACTTATATACCAAGGGGCCAGGGGAGAGGGGTGGCTTGACCAGCACAAACTGCTCCTCTGGCCTATAATCTTGCTCATTTCTTCTTAAATACAAGAATCACCAGCTGACTGGGCTTTCCCTCCCCCCTCCTCTGTCATTCCAAGGAAGCAGGAGGAGAGGGAGGAACTTCAGCTCCACCACTGTTCGGCTTTTACAAATCAGCCAGTCACTGATTCCAGTGTCCCAGGGAGCTTGGTCTTCCTGTGAAAGCTCACCTGTTGCCTGGAAAACCCAGAGATAATGAGAAATGGCAGCACAAAGCTACCACCCTGCCTGGCACTAGGCTCTGGATAAGAGCTATTTAAAGAAATCCCTTTAACTGGCCTTGGCTCAGGAGAGAACAAACGCCGGATCTGGTCCCAAGCAGGGTCAGGAGAGGAAGGCAATGGAAAGTGTGTTTACATTTCAGAGGTCACCCTCCTTGCACAGTTTCACTCATTATTTGAGAGCATGTCAAACTGAAAAGACGCTGGTGAACACCTTCGGCTCTTTCTCAAAGGACACTTCTTTCCACCCACAGCCAACTTCACAGGGCTTTGTGTCTGACCAGGATTAAAAGTTATTTTTTCCCCTTAAAATATATTGGGGGGGGTTTCCACTCCCCTTCAGCCAAAACACATTTATAACTCTATTTTTCCTTATCAGTCATATTAGTTTTGCCATCCTTTTGAGAGCAGTCGATAGAGAAGCATCACAGGGTAGTGGATAGACTGCCATATCTAATGACTGGCTATTGCTACTCAGAGCAAATCATTCAAACTCTCAGTGTCCCCAGGTAATTCTCTAAAACAAGTTACAGAAAAGTAATTAATTGTAACTAGGATCAATAAGAAAATGATACAGAATCAATCTTCATCTTTTCACAGAGCTTTTGCCAATCTGCATTCATAGAGGGAGTTTTCCCACCAGAAGTTCCCTATACTGTGTCCTGTCCAAAATAAATAAATCAATAAACACATGAAGCCTGGTCTCCACATCGGCTCACAAGCAGATGAGAATTGGCGATGAACAGCTAGGAGACCTCCCAAGGGCTTTGGGGAAGATAACTTGGTAATTATTTGAACTCTGAAGTTCAGGTACTCTGTCTGCTCCCAGACAGAGTCATTTGTTTTTTACATCGGTGGCTCCATAGTCAGCTACACTCTGGAAGGACCATTTCCTCCTAGAGAGCCTCATCTTGCCTTCAAACACAGAGGAGACAGGAAATACACTTTGGTCCTATTGCATGGAACAGGAGATGAATTTTCCACAATAGTCTTTGGAAACAAGGCAGAAAATTCCAAGTAAACAAAGAGAATGACAGCCACATTTCATTGGCTACTCGGCACCCCCACACTCTCCTCAGTGCCTGCCTCAGACAGCGCAGAGGTTTCTGAAGCTCTCTCCAGGAACAAAGGCAATCCAAAAGACACAGGTTCTATTCCTTCTATAGGTGACCCTGGGATTGCAAAATTACAAAGCTCCTAACACACATGCCCTGGCATTTGTTAAGCACCTACTATGTGCCAAGCCACGGACTAGGCACTGGGGATAAACAATCAGTCAATAAGAGTTTATTGTTATCCATACGCCAGGATATGAAGAATGAAAAAATCCCTGTTCTCGAGGAATTTACATTCTAATGGGAGAAACAAGTATATGTGAAAGTCTATACAGAATAAATATAAATAAATATAAGTAAACCCAGGAAAGAAACATCCAAATAACAGATAAATTAGGGAGATGATTTGCTTTAGATATTAGTTACCAAAGCTTTCCTTTAAATAGTGAGCTGCTGTAGTACATTTAAAACATGGTATAATTTTTCCCATCCCTGCAAAAAAAAATACAAAAGGATTCACATGCAAATATACATATATGCATATACAAATCTATTTCATTTAGTGTTTGAAAAGTTCAGAACTTTAAAAAAAGGAAAAAGAAATAAAAATCATAGCCTTCCCTTTTCTCCTCCTCCCCACCCTACTCCACCCAATAAAGACCTCTCCCATTTTCCAGGTTATCAGGCAGAATGATGTATTCTGGATTTTAAAAAAAACCCAATAAACAACAAATAAAAACTTCTGTATGAAAAGTCAAATGCTTTATCTTTCCCCAAAACCATCCCCCTCTTCCTAATTTCCCTGTTACTACAAATGTACTAACATTCTCCCAGTTACTTGGGCTTATAATCTAGGTGTCACCAGCAACTGCTTTCTCTTGGTCCTCTTGTCCAATCTGTTGCCAAAGCCTTTCATTTACTTTCACAGCCTTTCTCATATATGGTCCCTTCCCTTCTCTGACCCCATCACCTCATGCCTGAACTATTACAATAGCCTGCTGGTTAGTATCCCTGCCTGAAGTCTCTCCTGCTCTAGTCCATCCTGACTCAGCTGTCAGAGGGATTCTTCTAAAGCACAAGTTTGATTTTGTCACTCACTTCCCCCCTTCTCCTCATTCAGTAAACTCCAGTGGCTTGTTGCTACGATCTCCAGGATCAAATATAAAGTCCTCTGTTTGACTTTTAAAACTCTCGATAACCTGGCCCCTTCCTATCTTTCCAATTTTTGTGCTCCATACACCCTTCCTCCTCCACCAGAGGAGAGAGTGTAGCTGATGACTTTGCACAGCTGTCTCACTTAAATCCAATCCAGGAGCAAGTCAAGAAATCACTCTCCTGACTGCACTGGTCCTCTTCCAGGAACAACAATGAAAACAACAACAGCAATTCTGCAGTCCAGTGACACTGGCTTCCTTGCTGTTTTTCACACGAGACACTCTATCTTCCATCTCTGGGCATTTTTGCTGGCTGTCCACCACGCCTAGAATTCTCTCCTCCTTCACCTCTGCCTCCTAACTTCCCTTCAAATCTTAGCTAAACTTCTACCTTCTGCAAGAAGTCTTTCCCAGTCATCCTCAGCACTAGTGCCTTCCCTCTGTGGATTATTTCCAATTTATCCTGAATATAACTTGTCTGTACATAGCTGTTTCCATGTTGCTTCCTCCATTTGACTGTTGGCACTTTGAGAGCAGGGACTGTCTTTTATCTTTCTTTGTCTTTTCAGTGGTTGGGCAAGTCAATAATACTGACCTATGTCAGGAGTCTAAAGATGAAAAATATGAGGGAAGGAGAAAGGGAAGAAGAAAAGAATACCGAGCACTTAGAGCAAGTAACGTGTATGAGGATCTTCCTGAAGAGGAAGGAGCTGGACTTTCTAAGGAGGAAGAATAACGTGGCCCCCTCGGAGCTGTTAGGTAGGCAAGGATCAAAGAAAGAAGAGGAAGGTAATAGTAGGTGGTAATTCCCTGACAAGAGGTACTGAGTCAGCTATGATAAGAGCTATGCCAACCTGACAGATGATAAGATATATGCCAATCTGATAAGAGGTTCAGAGAGGCTGGCTCTCTTGTTGGGGCATATATCCAAGCCTCCTAAGACTTGGCGTGCCAGATGACTACCACCCACCTCCACTGATTCACAAGGGCACAAATTATATGTTAGAAAGAGTCTGGAAAGTACTGCTTAAGATGACAAAGTTCTGGGCAATAAAATTAAGACCTTAAGGACACTTAAGGGAAAAGTATGGCTAAACATCTGTTTGTCTGAAAAAGATCTGAAGGGCTTAATGCTACCAAAAAAGCTAATGCAATCTTAGGTTGCATTAAAGAGGCATAGGGAACTAGGGAGGTAACAGTCCCACTGTAACCTATCCTGGTCAGACCACCTCTGTAGTACTGTGTTTGGCTGTAGATGCCACATTTTAGATAAGATATTGATAAATCCAGTGCATTTTACTTCTGATAAACACTTAATAAATGTTTGTTAAATTGAATAATCTGGAAAATGTCCAGAGAAAGACAACCAAGATGGTTGTCTTGAGATGATAACACATGAGCATCGGGCTAAAGGAATTGGTTATGTTTAGCTTGGAGAAGAGAATACTTAATGAAGTCATGATAGCCATCTTCAAACATTTAAAGGGTTGTCTTATGGAAAGAGGCAATAGACTTGCTCTTCTTGGCCCAAGTGGGAAGAAGGAATGGTGACTAGAAATTACAAAATGGAGTGTGTTTAAACTTGATTTAAGGAAAAAGTTCCTAACGAGTAGAGCGATCTAAAAGTGGAACGGGCTGCCTTAGAAGATAATGGTTTCCATTGACTTGAGGACTTCAAGCAAAGGCTTGATAACCACATGCCGGGTATGTAGAAGGAGGGAGATTCTTATTCAGTCACAGCTTGAGGGATGCCAAAGATCATGGATTTGGCCTTTAGTCCTCTGTGTGTGTGTGTGTGTTGTGTGTGTCACAACTTTGCTATTTGTGACCTTTATAACCTTAGAAAAGTTACCTTGTTGCCCAATGCCTCAGTTTCCTCATCCACAAAATAATGAGCAAGTATTCTTAACCCGAGATGCATGAACTTGGCTTTTTCTTTTTTCTATGTTGATAACTGAATTCCTTATAATTGGTTTTCTTTGTAATTTTATGTATTTTATTTTATGCATTTTAAAAAACATTTTCCTGCTGGGCATAGTGGTGTATGCCTATAGTGCTAGTATGTAGGTTAAGGTTGATGGGTTGTTTGAGTTCAGAAAGTCGGATCTGTTGTGGGGCTAAAGCCAATGTTGTCTGCATTAAGTCCTGCACCAATATGGTGAGCCCTGGAAGAGTAGAAAGCCACCAGCCTGTGTGAGATGGGGTAAATTGCCCTAGGCTAGAAAAACAGAGCAAGTAAAATTTTGCCATCTCTCCTCATAAATGGAGAAACAAAAGTCCACAGAGAATTCTTCTGACCAAAGTCCCCTAAATACCTCATAGTAATTTTCAGGCAAAGTTAGGGTTGAAACATGGTAGCCCCCAAACAGCATCCAGGTGTCTGAAAGATGACAACAGGGACTGTTACTAGAAGTGCTTTTTGTTTCCAAGCACCCAGGAAAGTCCAGTGTTACCTGGGAGGAAGGGGATGATTCTTTGCTTGGGATCCTTCTGGCCACCTTCGATGGGGAACTTATCCAGAAGTTGCATCTATAAAGCAAAAGACAAGAGGACAGAGTCTTAGGAGAAGGAACTTGGATGAGTTCTTACCTTTTACTTCCTCCCCACTAATCCCAAACAGCCCTTATTAAGCCCTCTGGGCTGCAAAAGGATGAGTTATTTCTCAAATCCCTCATTTCACAGTGAATTAGCAAACCAAACACTGCGGCTGAGAGGGCAGGAGGTTGGCTTGCATGTGTGAATGGGGGGGAGGGGTGCCTGTATACATATTGGGGGAAGGGGGAGTTCTCAAAGGGGATGCTGCAAGCTTCTCAGGAGAAGCCCCTCCATTGCTAGGGCTGGGATCAGGCAGGCCTTATGATGCCACCCTCTTTCAGGAGTTGCAAAATCGAATGGCTAACTTGAAGGTGCACTGGGAATACAAACGGAGCCTCTTTGGCCTTGTTGTCTTTTTTTAAGCTGCACTGGGGCAAGACATGCTGTGTCTCCTGCAGTCTGGGAAGAGAGGAACATCCCACCTGACACTTCAGACAGACCACCCACCTAACAGAACCATTCTGCGGAAACAGGCCCAGATGTTAGTTTAATCAGAAAGCCAAATCCAATTCATTGCCATTGCTTCAGCGAGCCCTACCTCTTCCCCCTTCCCGGCTTCCTACCCAAGAGCTTCACTGTTTTCCTAGGGAAAGACTCACCAAGGAAAAGAGTCTCTAGAATTATGGGAAAACATTCTATCTTTTTGCTGTTTTTTATAAAGTAGTGCTATTTAAACCGGGAAAACACACGAGAAATTGAACTTGAACAGAGTATAATAAATCTTTGTTGAATCAAATTGGTTGAACCAGAATGAAATGGAAGCCAGGAGAGTGTGACCATATGCATTCACACAAAATACTTTGTCAATCTCTCTCCAGCACAGGTGATTTGAAAAACTATTTATAAGACAGAACCTTTGGCACTCCAGGGGGAAGGGAGAACAAGGCAGCATTTGCTTCATATAAAGCTGTTGCCTTTATCTTAAGGCTCCCCTGAACACAGGGATTAACCCTAAATATATGCCAGCCCATGACTTCTCAGATCTCAACGTTTCCTATAGTTTTAGCAGTCTGTGTCTAGGATTCTCTGTTTGGAGTCAGTAAACACATCATGGCAGTGGACACTGAGATGTCTTCAGCAAAGGGAAGTAGGTCTATGGTCTACCCAGGGACAGTTTTTCAACCCTGTCCAGGTTGTAGGGTGGAAGAGGTGACTTGTTTAAGATCCCACTGATCAAGGAACAATTCTAAAGTGAAGCAATTCCTTAAATCGGAGCAGCTTTTCTTCCAGAATGAGGGGAAGTGCTTTAGTCTCCTCCCCAGCAAAAAAAAAAAAAATAGTAAGACAGGAATGACAACAGGGAGAGTGAGGGAGAATTCTTTGATTTCTCCCTGTCTCAGAGAAATAACCACAGGGCTAGAGGGGAAGGTGACCTCAACGACCATCTAGTCTAACCCTACATTTTACAGTAAGAAAACTGAGACTCAGAGGAGGTTGAGGGACCTGCCTATGATCACACAGGTAGTAAGTGTTAGACCACTCAGTGCTACTAGACCTTAAGTCCAATCATTCCTTTAAAATTAAAGTGTTTGACTGTATGACCCTGTGTAAGTCACTTAACCCCACTGCCAAGCCCACCCCCTCAAAAAAAAATTAAAGTGTTTGTTAGAAGGAAGGAGTCTCCATGAAGAAAAGGATGGATTCTGGGTTTTCCTCAGAAAAGAGGAAAGGGTGCTGTTTCTTAACATTCCTTCTATGGCCTCTCATAAAAGCCTGCCCTCTTAGTCACCCAATACACCATAGATTAAGTCTAGACTACCATGAGACCGAGAGAGATGCGCCAGCGCAGGGTTCTGGCTCCACCCCACCTTCCCCTCCCTAGCTCATTGCAAACTGCTCTCCTCCGAACACTGCTTGTGCCCTGCTAGTCTAACTGTCTATTATCTGAATTCAGCTCTCCATCTCCCACCGCCATGCCTGGGATATACTGCTTCCTGCTGTCCTCTTAAGATCCCTTAGCTTCTATCAAGGCACAGCTCACATGCTATCTCCTATGGAAAGCCCTTCCTGCCCGCCCCCCACCTCCCCTAGTTGTTGGGCTCTCCCACCTCAGTCAATCCCGTACTTGCTTATCATCTTACACGTTGTATCTTTCCCCAGTAGCCTGTAAGTTCTTTGAGAGCAAGAAACTGCCTTTACTTTTGTTCTTGTAGCCCAACACATGGGCGAGGAACCTGTAGCCTTGAGGCCCAAATCCAGACGTCTTTGGATTCAGTCAAAGGGCCATACTTGAGGACCTAGAGGGCCACCTGTGGCCTTGAGGCCACACAGGTTCCCCGCCCGGCAGCCAGCACAGTACCTTGCTTTATGACATATGCTCAATCAATGCTTGTTAATTTGGATTAGGTTGGAAGCGCTCCTCTATATGGGACTGAGACAGACCCCTAGATGACCTGCCCATCTCCCTCCCACTCCAGCTTCACGGACAAAGTCTGCTGAGCTTGAAACTCATCACCAAAAGCTAGCATCACCTAATCCCACTGATACTCCTAAAACAACAGAGATCTAAATGTTTGGGTCTGCTTTACCCTTCATCTCCACCAGCCAGCCATCAGGGTTGGAAAAGGAAATATTTCTAACCAGCTGCTGGGGCAACATTTTCTCTGCACCAAGAAGTCATCTTTCAAAGAAATCAAATCTCTCAGACCCCAGTGAACATGCAAACAAAATAAAGACTGCCCAGCTGGGTTTACTTTAGGAAACAGAGTGTAGGTCTCATCAGAGTTGCATGTTTCCAGCATCTCTGCCCCCACAGAACGGAGAAAGGCAGAAGCAAAGGGCCAGGACATCTGGGGTAACATTTTCCCAACAGGGAGTTAGGCTGGTGGTTAAACAGATCACAGCTTCAAGGGACAGCTGATAATCCTAGAAAGGCAAAGTGCATTGTGGTTAAGAGTACTGAATCAAGAATTTGATGGTGAGAAGTCAGCTAAGTGGCACAGTGGATAGAGCACTGGCCCTGGAGTCAGGAGGACCTGAGTTCAAATACGGCCTCAGACACTTGACACTTACTAGCTGTGTGACCCTGGGCAAGTCACTTAACCCCATTGCCTAGCCAAAAAAAAAGAATTTGATGGTGAGGGGCATACTATTGGCTCTGCTATTAACCACTTGCGTCACTTTAGTTGCTTAATTGGGCTAAGCCTTTGTTTCTTCATGGGTAAAACAGGGATAAGATTGAGGCAATAGTGGATAGACTGCCTGCCTTAGAGTGGGGAAGACCTGGGTTTAAGTCAGGGGTTATTAACCTGGGACAAGGTGGGGAACCTGTATCCTTGAGGCCGCAAGTTCCCCACCCTGGCCTGGAGCCTGTTAAAAAACAGGCAAAGTGAACCTGGTTTTTGTTTTTTAATTCCATCACTGTATTTCATAGTAATTGGTTTCCTTTGTAATTTCTCGGTATTTTAGTTTATGCTTTTAAAAAACATTATTCTAAGAAGAGTTCCACAGGTATCAGCAGACTGCCAAAGAGGTCCATGACACAAAAAGAACACCTCATGTAAATCTTACCTACCATGTGCTCCATATCTACATAACCATGGGAAAGTCAACTAACTTCTTTAGTGCCCCCCCCAAAACACTAAGATTTTAAGATATAGCCCAGCCGCCAATTAGCATTGATAGAGGGAGTTCCCACATCAGGAATTCCCTAGACAAGACACCCCTCCCCCCAAAAAATCCCAAAGTCAGATGAAATAGTGTAAAAGCATCTGGTAAACTGTTAATGCACAAATAATAACGAAAATAAGAGCTAACAAATATTGCTGCTAGGTGGCGAGGTGGATAGAGCACCCAGCCTGGAATCAGGAAGACTCATCTTACTAGCTGTGTGACCCTGGTCAAGTCATTTAATTTGCCTCAGTTTCCTCATCTGTAAAATGACCTGGAGAAAGAAATGGCAAACCACTCCAGTACCGTTGCCAAGAAAGGGTCATGAAGAGTTGGACACAACTGACTAAGAGCAACAAATGTTAGCTATAACACTAAGCATTTGCGAAATACTCTATAACCATCTCATTTGATCTCAAAATGGAAACATCATAGGACTTTAGGCTAGAAAGCAAAATCAGAGGTCACAGTAATCCAACCTTTTGTTTGACAGATAAGTAATCTGCCTAAGGTTACACAGGAAGTAAGTAGTGAAGACAAGATTGTGAACCCAAGTCTTCAGAATCCTAATCCAGTAGACTGTTACCATCATAAACATAGAAGATTAGAAGGGGGTTGGTAGTGAAAGGCCTGTAAAAAGTAGTTTTCCTATCATTAATGAAAGGTTAGATGGGAATAGAGGGGGAGGGAAGGGTGGAGTCAGACCCAGGTAGGGGTAGGTGAAAGTGGAAGCTATCAAATAACTTTACTACTCTGTATTCCACCACCAGGAAGATAAATTCGGTCTCTCCTGCAAGGCCCTGGCTCAAGTTGTACCCATGGCCATGATCCAGATTTTCAGAGCTATGCTTGGAGAGAAAGGCGTTTGGCTAAAACGGCCTTTTTCAACCACATCAAGAAGCTTACCATGTAAAACTTCAAACTATTTATCTAAAGGATGGATATCAGCATGGGAGATAGAATAAACCACAGCAGGGAGAGCCTGGCTGACAAAGGCTGGGGAAGCTGAGTGATTCCCGACTCCCTTGCCATCAGCATAGCTCAGTAGCAAACAAAGCTGGGACATACCAGCTGGGAACCCAGCTTGGGCACACCTATGGTCTAAAAGCCAGTAACTTTTCTCTCTTCCAAGGCAGAGGAGAGTCAGCAGGCAGGCAGTCAATCAACATTTATTAAACACCCGCTATGTGCTAAGCACTAGAGATACAAAGTAAGGCAACAAGACTTCTTATTTACAAGGACCTCACAGTCTAAAGGAGGAGACCACATGAAAACAACTACATACAAACAAGATATATACAGGGTAAAGTGCAGCCAGACAGTGA